GACCAATAGAGGAAAATTGAGCATTTTATACCAACCTGGGATAATTTGCTTATCATCCAAAATGTGGATGACAGAATTCCTAGAGTAAAATGTAAAACAAAGTCTTGTTCACCTGCAGAGGAAAGATAGACACCTGTGCCTTGTAAAGACAAGAGTAAGAAAACTGTTAATGCGACAATATAATCTGACCTCTCCCAGTACAAGTCAATAGTTCTGGAAGTATAATATGTACAGGACCAGGAGAGACACCTAAGACTCTTTCAAGCCATTCAGAAGTTTGACGATATTTTCTTAATAATATTAAATTGTTATCCACCTTTTTTTTCCCCTCTCATCCTCTCGGAAATATAAGTGGAGTGCTCTGAAAGCTACGTGATCTGGGATTATAACAATGCCTCTGATAGCTAACAGCATGTCTGCTTGTCTTGCTTAGATATAGTGATTTCTGTGTTTTGGGTAGGGAACCGTGGTGATCCCAGCTCCTTGGGAGGCCGAGGCAGGAGGATCCCTTCAGCCCAAGAGTTTGAGGCTACCCTGAGCAACATAGCGAGACCCCCTGTCTCAAAGAATTATTTTGTCAGTTTTAATTTTCAGTCTGAAAAGTATCAGTAGATGTAATCCACATAAATAAAAGTTCTTCAGAGTCTTCAGTCATTCTTTAAAGATTCAAGGAGATCAAAAAGTTTGAAAACCACTTGTTACAGGGCATTGAGGCTGAAGAAGCACAATGACTCATTCTTTGTCCTTAGGACCTACACAGATCTGTTGCCACCTCCCAAATACAGCCCCATTAGACCAGTGGCTATCAGTAATCCAAGATGTCTCCTTATCACCAATGTTTAATGAAAATCAAGAAAATGAAATTAGCAAATGGCTTGACTCATCTGTATGAATTTTAAAAGGTGCTTTGGAAGCTGGGGCAGTGGTGTATACCTGTAATCCCAGTACCTCAGGAGGCTGAGGCAGGAGGATTGAAAGTTCAAAGCCAGCCTCAGCAACTTAGTGAGGCCCTAAGCAATTTAACAAGGTCCTGTCTCAAAATAAAATTTAATAAAGGGCTGGGGATATGGCTCAGTGGTTAAACACTGCTGGATTCAACCCCCGGTGCCCAGTACTCCCCACCTCAAAAAAAAAAAAAAAAAGTGCTTTGGCAGTTTCATATTTGCCATTTTGTAGAATACTGGTTATACCCATAATTAAAATCAAGTTGATCAATAAAGTTGCAGAGTAACTTATAGATTAAGGAGTAGTAATATTGCATATGGTAGTTGTTGGTAGATCCTAAATAACTTTACAATGAGGCAGGTTTGTTTTAGTGGTCCTTGTCAAAAATGGAACAGTTAGGAATGAGTAGACTTAGTTTAGAATAAAATGAAATAGTGGCAGATTCTTAGGTGTGTTCATATTTCGGACTTATGCAAAATTAAACCTTTGCTACTAAAAGATAGATATGCCTTAGAGTTTGCAAAGCTATCATTTATTGCTTACAAATTTGATAATGTTCTTTAGTAGGTTATTATTATATTAGTCCATTTTAATTAATGAATGAAATACCTGAAGCAGTGTACTTACAGAGAAAAGAGGTGTATTTGGCTCATGGTTCTGATCCAAGGTTGAAGGCCCACATCTGGTGATGTCCTTCTTGTTGCAGAATCTCAGTGCAGCCCAGGGCCCATCATGGCAAAAGACAGGGAGCACATTTGTGGGCAGCTGTGCATGTATGTGTGGGCAAGTGTCTTCTGGTCCTTCTCCCTCTTCTTATAAAACCAACAGAATTCAATCATGGGGGGTTCATTTCTGACCACCTTATCTAATCCTAATCACTTCCCAAGACCCCATCTCCAAACACCATTGTTATATTAAATCGCTACACCCGTAATACCTCACAGGGGAGTTACTTTTCAATATATGATCCCTTGGGGGTTGCATTCAAACCATATCCAAACCGTAGCAATCATATTTTTGAATCTTCAGGGAATGATCATTTAGAGCCATAGATTTACCTAAAGATATAAGTAAAGAAAATCTACTGTACCTTACAAAGTAATCTCCTTTCGTATTTCTACATAAGACCCTACCTCAAGAAGGTTTGTGTGTGTGTGTGTGTGCGCGCGCGTGCACATGCATGCATATTAATTATACAGAATAATGTGTTTCATTGTGTTTATTTATTTCTGTATGCCTATAACATACTTCAATCATATCCCCCTCCCCCATTACCTCTCTTACCCTTCCCTCCCCCACCTCTTCTTAACCCTTTCCTCTTCTCTGAGAGTGTCCAGGGAGGGTTTTAAATATATTCCTGTCTGCCTGTAGCAGGTCATTGATTCAGCTTCCTCTTGTGCCATTCCATGGGACACACAGGGCTTTGAATCTCATTGTGAAAATTAACAAGGCCATTCTGAAGCCTCATCGCACCTGAAATTTTGTTTTAAAAAAAATTGATTAAGGAGGAGTTGGGAAAAGCTTAAAAGCCAGAAAAAAAGGAAACAAAACCAGGAATTGCCTTCTCACAGACAAATATGGAGACTTTAGAATAAATATATATACACAGAACCATTTTCTGAAATGGTGACCCAGAGATCTTCATCCCCCCCAACTCACAGAATGCATGCCTGGAAAAGGAAGTTGTTGAAAGAATAAGAAAAATAAGAATGAAAGTTGAAACTGTGCATTGTCTTAGGTACCATGAAATAATAGAGTATTGTTAGGGAATTTCTTTATCATGAAGGAACTTTGGAGAAGTTGGCTCTGTTCTCTCTCTTAAAAAAAAACAAAAAACAGAAAAAACACTCAGTAATATCCTTACATCTTCTTCTCATTTCTTGGAAGAGTCAAAAGATAAGAAAACAATCAGTTATCTTGAAGGTAGTGGAAAAAAGAAACAGTAAAAGCAAGTTCAGGGTGTGTGTCTAGAGACACTCAGTTCAGGAATTCACAGACATATCCAGTACATAAGTGATACTCAGAATCGCCATTCTGTAGCATTGAAAGATCCCGAATCATCACAAAAGAGAATATGATTGACCTTTGAAAGGCATCATAGGAGGCAGACTAAAAATGGGCACCATGAGGGTTAAACTTAAATAACATGGTTCTCTTATCAGTAAACCTTCCTGTCTAGCCATGCCAAATAACTGAGTACTCCGTGACCCACCCATCTGTCAGTAGGCCAAGCAGCATTTCAGCCATTGATATTAATTTTTAAAAATGAAAATCAGAAGTCACAGAACATCATAATCTACATATGTTCACAGTGGCAAAAATCAAAGTTTTGACCAACATTTTACAGTGAAAACAGTTCTGTACATTAGCCTTCTACTAATCCATGGGAAAAGAAAACCACAGCTTTGTAATCCCAGAGGTCCTCGAACCTTTTGAGAATTAAAGTGGTTTCTGCTTCCAGCAGATACGACATGGGCCATAATCTTTGAGATATTTCTGATCTCACAAGAGGCCTCTAAGACAACAGTGTCAACATGACACAAAAGAAATGAACAAAGCCCTGGGTCTTGAGCCAGGAGCTACAGGGACACTTGCAAGGGCAGTTCCTTCCTAACAGACTCCCACAGAGATGGCAAGGTTCAGTTCTTCCACAAAGACAGGTGCCTGTCTCTGTGTTCTGAGCCATCAGTGAGGGGGAGCTGAGCCTGGGGTTTTTGGATTGAGCCAGGATCCTCAGGGGCATCTGCAGGTCATAAGTCAGTGGCATTTAGCAGAAGCATTTGCAAAATCTCTTTGAAGGAAAGAATTCTCAATGTGGACCCTATAGGACTTCCACAAAGTCAAGGCATGATTTCAAAATAAAGTATCTGCAAGCAACGGGAGATGGCAGTCACCTTGAATGAAATTCATCAAAATGAAAAAAAAATGGTACAAATTTATTACCATCTGTCTCCTACCCAAGGAAAGCAGAAATTACTGGTGCCTGAAACAGAATCCACAACAACTATGTAAAAATTGTTTAAAGAGGGGCTGGGGTCGTGGCTCAGAGGTAGAGCACTCGCTTTGCACGTGTGAGGCCCTGGGTTCGATCCTCGGCACCACATAAGTAAATAAATAAAACAAAATAAAAGCATTGTGTCCATCTACAACTAAAAAATATATATTAAATTTTTTTTTATTGTTTAAAGAAAGAGGGTGGGCCCAGCTTGATGGCTCATGCCTGTAATCCTAGCAACTCGGGAGGCTGAGACAGGAGAATCACTTGAGACCAGGAGTTTGGGGCCAACCTCACCAACACAGGAAAACCCTGTTTCAACAAAACAAAACTAAAGTCAACACCAAGTGTTGGAAAGAGACTAGAATTTTCATAAACTCTATGTATAAACACTTCAGAAAATAAGTTGGCATTCTCTTATAAAATTTAACCTTCGTATGTCATACACTATAGAAACTCCATGCCAAGGTAATTCTTTTTTTTAATTAACATTTTTCAGATTTTTTTCTAATTAGTCATACATGACAGCAGAATGCATTTTTTTTCAATGTACACCAATGGAGCACAACTTTTCATTTCTCTGGTTGTAGACAATGTAGTGGCACACCATTTGTGCAATCACACATTTAACCAGGGTCATTATATTCTTCTCATTCCACCATCTTTCCTACCCCCGTGCCCTCTCCCCTCCCCCCTCCCCTTTGCCCAATCCAATGTTCCTCCATTCTTCCCATGCCCCCTCCCCGCATTGTGGATCAGCATCCATTTATCAGAGAGAACATTCGGCCTTTGGTTTTTAGGGATTGGCTTACTTCGCTTACCATGATATTCCCCAACTCCTTCCATTTACCTGCAAATTCCATGATTGTATTCTCTTTTAATGCTGAATAATATTCCATTGTGTGTATATATATATATATACCACAGTTTCTTTATCCATTCATCTGTTGAAGGGCACCTAGGTTGGTTCCACAGTTTAGCTATTGTGGATTGAGCTGCTATAAACATTGATGTGGCTGCTTCGCTGTGGTATGCTGATTTTAAATCCTTTGAGTATAGAAAAACTGTGGAATGCTTCACGAATTTGATTGTCATCCTTGCAAAGGGGCCATGCTAATCTTCTCTGTGCCATTCCAATTTTGGTATATGTGCTGCCCAAGCGAGCATGCCAACATAATTCTTAAAACATGTACATCATAAAATGTTTACGAGGTTATTTATAGAAGCACTGCCCCTTAAGAGCTAAAAATTGGCAGTGATGCTAATAGCCATCACCATAGGAGTAGGTTAATAAATCGTGGTATAGTCATAAAATGAAATAGTATATAATTGTGAAAATGAGTAAATTATACTACTGTAATGCACCAATAAAAATATAAAAGAAAATGAATAAATTGCATGGCTTTTCGCTGGAAAGTGAATAAATTTTGGAAATGAAATGCTCAATTTATAAAAACAAAGAGAGAGATCCCCCCTCCATTACATATTGTATGAAATCACTCAAGGCCTCAGAACAAGCTTAATGAAACAAAATGTTGTGTCGTTTCACAGGCTAGTGGATAAAGTTGGCTTGTCCTAATGGGCAAGGAAACAATCCACACAAAATAGAGAATAGTGATTGCTTTGTCCAGGGAGGACAGGGAGCAAGGATTGGAAGAATACAGACATAAATGCAAGTTACTGGTCATGATTTTAAGTCTAGTGTCAGGAAATAGGTTCATGTGTGACATCTCCTGTGCTTTATGATTGCTGATTTTTTTCATTGGTAATTAATATCACGTTTCATCAGAAAAGAAAAAAAAATAGAAGAACATGCCAGTGGCCCTTGTAAAGTCTGTCACATTTTAGGGTCACCAGCTGTCAGAGAGGGATGTGCTTTTCTCATCCTCCGGTGCTCAGGTGAGGCCAGAAGGGAAGAGAAGTGGCATGGGTGTCACTTTAACAGAGTGCTGCTATAGGTGTTGCATGTGTCCAGGGGTAAAAGAGACCATCCCCACCCCCATGTAGCTCATGATTTTTAATTGAGAAGCAGGGAGGGGCCGGACGGAAACCTTGAACATCATAGGAAATTTCTGTGATATTTGAAAAGTCATAATCGCTGTCGGAAACCAGATAAACTATAGCACAGTAAAGGAGACCGAGAGTTCTCGAAAAGAAGGGGGCAGGGGCAGGCCATAGTATTCGTTAGGGTGGTTGAGGCTCGTTGAGAAGGTGAGATATGACCCAAACTTACATTGAGGCTGATGGGCAAGTGTGTACGGGCTGAGTGTCCCTAATCCAAAATCCACAGCGCTCCAAAATTTTTTAGCATCGATCCCAAGGGTTACTCAACCTGTATTTAGAAAAAAAAAAAAAGGGCTTCCCATCTGAGAGAAAGAAGTCAAGAGTGACTTTGAAGCTCTTTGGCTGGAGAGGATGGAATAGTATCATTCACAGGGGATGATCAGGACTCGAGTTTTGGACAGGCTGGAGTGGAGATGGCCATTGGGTTTCCAAGTAAAGACGTCAAGTAAGGAGTAGAACATGCACACCAAGATTTAAAGATGAAATTCTGGAGAAAGTCAGGGTGCACACCAGTGGCTGCCGCGCCAATACCAAAACAGTGGTTTTCGTACCAAAGGGGACCTGATCAGTTTGAATTCTTTCAGGAAGATGAACACTAGAGAAATGAATAGGAATCTGATTAACTCCCAAAAATGAAGTGAGAAGACATTTCTGATTGCAAACCTTTCCCATTCACCCCTCAAAAGATGTGGCAAATAGAGCAGAAAAAATCCCCTTTGCCCCAAATGGACGTGCTTGCCATTTTGAGATAGCAGATTCTCTGAGGATTTCTATATCACTTGTCTATTATTTCCTACTATCTCTGTCTGTAGGCTCCGACAGTGAGGCTCTCTTTCAACCGTACAAATAAATGAAACATTCAGCAGGAAATTATGCAACATAGAGAATTAAAAAAAAAAATTATCCACATGTGGATTTTTATTGGCCCCGATCATGTTTTAGAATGAAATGATTCTAACTTTGCCAAACTGTTTAGCACAAATTATAAAGGCCGGGGCCTGCTGTTGGAATGGTTTGCAGAGAGGCTGGACTGATTACATGGTGTTTTATTTGCATTACATTAAATCCAGAGCACTTCTTAGAGCTGGCTGAAAAGCAAACACGGAGCCAGGGTACACAAAGTGACATCAGTTGGATGTGCTCCGTCCATCTGAGAGCTAAAAAAGCACACTAGAGATCCATCCTCTGGCTCCTTTTTTTAATTTTATTTTTATTTTTTAATAGCAAAGAAACAAGTTCCAGAGAGGCTGAGGGACTTGCCTAAGGCCTCCAGTTGGTAAAACTGCTTTAAGAACCTGCCTCTTCTGATACCCACGCCCATGTCCCTCTAGCTATGGGACTTTGCTTCCAAGTGTCCTAAAGACTTTTAAAAAATTCACTTCTTTTCTTTTTTTTTTTTTCTCCCAAATCCCTTTGCAGGGTTTCTTCCGGAGGACCATCCGATTGAAGCTTATTTATGATAGGTGTGATCTCAACTGTCGGATCCACAAAAAAAGTAGAAATAAATGTCAGTACTGTCGATTTCAGAAATGCCTGGCTGTGGGTATGTCTCATAACGGTAAGTGAACACTTGTCACCAAAATCTTGTCATACACTTGGTAGCTGCCAGGTCAGCAGGCACCAGGGCCCTTGCTGGCAATGCGTACAGTTTCCCCACAAAACATCAGGTTTCAGAATATCACGTGCCAAGAAGACATTTCTCACTTAGGTCAGTGATTTTAAACTCTTAGTATAGAATCCTTCTCTCTGTGGCTGAGCCTCGTGGTGATGATGGGAGAAAAGACTTGAAAACCTGGGGGGAGTGGGGAGGGGGGAGGGGGAAGACTATACTGTTTTAAAAATAAAGGCAGTAATTATCATGATTCACTTTATGCTGCTTTAAAACAGAATTATACTTAATGTGTAGTTTCTAAGTTAAATGTAAGAAAATCTTGAAGAATTCTGTAAATGGAATTTTAAGTGGCATATCAGAATTTAGATTTATGTTCCTCCTCCTCGTCCCCTTCCTTCCTTCCTTCCTTCCTTCCTTCCTTCCTTCCTTCCTTCCTTCCTTCCTTCTTTACTATGCAAAGAGGAGTGTAGCTCTGTCCTTGGCTTCAGGAAACAGGAGGATTGCAAGTTCAAGGTCAGCCTCGGCAACTTACCAATAAATAGTAGAGAGAGAGAGAGAGAGAGAGAGAGAGAGAGAGAGAGAGAGATCATTATAGCTTCAAGAAATAAAAAAAAAAAAAAAATCTCAAAGTGACCAAATTGAATCCAAAGTTTCGTTTCCTTTAGTTTCTTGTTTCCCCCTTCCTTCCATCTATCCTTCATTCGTTCATTCCTCCCTTTCTTCAGGGAATCAAACCCAAGGCCTTACCCCTGGTAAACACACACTCTACCACTGTATACATCCTCAACTCTGATTTGTGTCTTGCCTTTGCTTTCATCTCTCTCAAAACTGATCTGGTAAAAAGATCATCTTTGAAGTCAATCCTCATCTATCTGATTAATTTTTTTTTTGTTCCGTTGTGCAGATGTTTGGTTTTCACGATGGAAATCATCAAGATATCTGGGAACCGCTAATTGGTTGATACTCTACCCTTTAAAAATAGTTTGCAGAATTAGAGTTGTTAGCATAGATCAGTTCCTCCAAAGGCAAGAATCTCTTATGAATAGAGCTATCAACAGCATTGGACAGGACAGGAATTTGATCCAACTTTCCTCAACAGTTGACCACATCTGCTTAGTACAACTGCAGTCACTGATTGCAAAATAATTTGCTGGTTGAATTCCATCCGTCTCCTTTTTATTTCAAGCCTCATAAAACATAAGGGCAAGTTTTCAAGTCAAGAGAGCTCTCTATTTTACGTGATGCAATCAAGTTCCAATAAACTTATTTTATCTTTATGAAGAAACCCTGGACTCTGAGGTCATTATCATCAAGATAGCTCAGGAAACCTGCCCATTCTACTCATAATGCTGTTTGGGTTTTTTTTGCCGATTAAAACAATTGTCACTTCACACATTCTTGTGAAATATAATTCCTAATACTTTCAGGAACTGCACATGTTGATGTAAAATGTTTCCTGCTGTTTACAGGCAGAGCAAACATTCATATAAAATATATCCCTGGTTGCTTATTGTTTATAGGCAAATATTATTCATACATAGCCCAAACTACTGGCTGGTGGTTTAGCTCAGTGGTAGAGTGCGTGCTTGGTGTGCAGGGCTCTGTTCCCAGCCCTGAAAAAAGAAAAAAGCCCAGTAGTATGGGTGGTATAATTACCTCCTCCCAGAAAAATTGGAGAGCTACAATAGAGAGAGAGAGAATTTTTTTAAAACATTTATTTTTTAATTTTCGGGGGACACAACATCTTTATTTTATTTTTATGTAGTGCTGAGGATTGAACCCAGCGCCCCGCTCATGTCAGGGGAGCACGCTACCACTTGAGCCACATCCCCAGCCCTCACTTTTAACTTCATGCAACAATTAGGTTATTCTGCTTTGAGAGAGGGGCAATCTTGACGAAGTGTTCCGTTTTTGAAAAGGCAAGAAAAATTTAGGAATTGAATATCAGTATATGAGAGACCTAAACAGCTCAACACTTAAAGGATTGCAAACTTGACTAAGAAAACCCTCCTTGTAGGTTTTTATGGCAGTGTGTCCTTTGCACAGGAAAGAAAGCATCGAGATTCTCTGAGCCCAAGAAAGGAGACATAACACTTGATAAGTGTTGCCTGTTATTCTGATGAAGTAAACATTTCTAAACACAAAGTCTTCTAGGTAGTTATAGTCACTGTTTAAAATTCATGGCTTGGGGACTATAGTTGAAGCATGCAAGAGGCCCTGGGTTCAATACCTAGTACTGCAAAACAAAAGCAAAAAAAAAAAAAAAAGCTCATTACTTTGTCTAAATAAGGCAATAGTCATGATTTTTCCGTTCATATAAAATGTCTTTTTCGTTACCAAAAGAGGCATCTAGTATTATGCCAAAAATCAGTTTTCAGTGTCTGCAAGAAAAAAAAGAACATCCCCCAAAGTAAGTTCACCCCATTCTATATCACTATTATTTCTGCTCTTTGGTCTCTGTTTAATCCATTTAATATATTTGAAGGCAGAT